ATAATTTATCCTTGGTTTTTATATATTAAATTTTCAGTCAATTTTGAAGAAAAAATCTCTCTCTCTCTCTCTCTCTCTCTCTCTCTCTCTCTCTCTCTCTCGGATTGAAGATTATCTTGTGGTCACCTTATATTCTTGTCTTGTCTCTACCCTCTCTAACATGAACATTGATTTTGAATTTTGAATTCAATTTGTCTTGGTCCTATAGTAGAAAGTGATTTTTCTTGATATCATTTGGACTTGACAAAAACAAGAGAAACAAAGAGAGGAACCGAGCAGGAGATGCTTGTTTCTCCATTGAAAATTATTGGTTATCTCGGAGGATTTTTTTGGTAAATTTATTGACATTCCCTTTCAATGATAGTGCTTTGATTTGGTTTGACACGAATATGAACGCAATATCAAATATTCCATTGGTGGTGGTGTAGAAGAAGTTTTGGATCGATTTTATCACATTGAGAGATATTATTCTGCATTGTGAGTTGTAACAAATCATTATAATCTACATTTTATTTTTACATATATGGAAAGTGATTTTTAATGGAGAGACTAAAAAATAGATCTGTTACGATCGGCAACTCTATAGAATATTCAAAGATGAAATAGAGACACGACACTGGTGACAAACATGGAAAGTGATTTTGAAGATATAAAATGCTACTTTAGATTTATCTATCATGAACCAACTCATTATTACATCGTTGTCACTTTCTGTGACATTTATCACAATCTCATTGCCAACGTGTAGTAGTAGCGAAACTACTTTTGCTTCAATTTCTCTCTCTTTTTTTCAAAATAAAACTTAATTATTTACTTTCTCGCATTTTAATTATTATTGAAACTTCATTTGTTAGCATAAACTTTAAGGGGAAAATTAGGTTGTCTACCCTATTAAAATAAATCTTTTGATTAATACCTTTTAAACTAATTAAACATTTTAATCAAGTAATAATTACGTCCTAATCTAAACTAAACTCTAATCCCCCAAGTAAAACCCCGAAACACACAGATGCTCAAGAAGAAGAAGAAAGCCACTATTCTTCTTCTTTTACTCTTTTATTTTTCTTCCACACCGTCAAATTTCGAACCGGAAATGGCTGTACTTTTCTCTCTGCCTACTACTGTAGCAGCACCACCGGTGGCAAGTTCTAGTCCTGCCGTGGCCGAACCGCAGAAAGTCGATTACATGAACCTTCATTGCCCAATTCCCTACGAGGAGATTCACCGCGAAGCTCTCAAGTCCCTGAAGCCAGAACCTTTTGAAGGGATGCGTTTTGATTTTACTAGAGGACTTAATCAGAAATTTTCATTGAGTCACAGCATGATGATGGGCACTACAGAAATTCCTTCTTAGTCATTTGAAACAATTAAAATTCCCACTGCTCACTATGAGTTTGGTGCTAACTTCATAGACCCCAAGTTGATGTTTTTTGGGAGGTTATTGACTGATGGGAGTCTAACTCTACCATATATTTTTGCCTGGTGCTAGTGCTGGTGGAGGTAGAGGATTGGGAGGAGGTGCAGACGGAGGTGGTTGTGGAGTAGGTGGTGGTATAGGTAGTGGAGCTGGTTCAGCTGGAGGCTTTGGTGCTGGTGGTGGCCTCCACGGCATGTATTGTCATCCAAAGAGGAGGCACAAGCAAGTAGTCTTGTCAATTTTGACACCATTGAGATTTTAGTGAGGGTAGAAGAATATAACTGTATTCTTCTGCTTGGTAAGGTGACCTGAATTTCTTTAGGAAATTGATTTGAAATCCCAGAGCTTATAAATTATTCTTAATGTTGTGCCGAATATTCACTCTTCAATGCCGAAGTGTAGTGTTCTAATGAGTCAGATTTCAGTTTGTTTATTGGAAATTTATTGATTGCTTGTGTCGGATTACATTTTGTGCATAATGGATTGGTTTTGGAGCCTTGGTTATGGAGCGGTGGTGGTGGTGGTGGTGGTGGAGTGGTCGAATTAGCTTAAATGATATATGTTAAGGTTTTCAGCGGTGTTTCGTCATTTTTTTTAAAAAAAATTTCGTCACTTTTTTGAGTTTGTCACCTTTTTTTGAATTGTCACTTTTTAAACGTGTGTCACTTTTTTTATTGTCTGTCACTTTTTAACATGTATAACTTCTTTTCATTTGTGCCACTTTTTTGAATTCGTCACTTTTTTTAATTTTGTCACTTTTTTTTAGTGTTTTATCACTTTTTTTAGTTACCTTCTTGATTTCTATCATTTTTTTTAGTGACATCAATTTTTAATAAAAAGTGACATTGTATGTTATTTTTTAATAAAAAAGTGATACTTAACTTTTAAAAGTGAAATTGTCTCATTTTTTTTAAAAAAGTGACAACTTTATCACTTTTTGTGTGTTTGTAACTTTTTCCTGCCACTTTTCAGAATTTTTTTTTCACTTTTTATTGTTTGTTATTTTTTAAAAATTTCTCACTTTTTTTTATAACAAACATATGTTTTGATTGGTGTTTTGTTACATTTTTAAGTATTTGTCACTTTTTTGAGTTTGTATCACTTTTTGAGTGTGTGTTACTTTTTTTGAATTTTGTTACTTTTTTTGAGTTTGTATCACCTTTTTTAAAAAAAGTGACAATATTTATAAAAAAAGTGATATTGTGTCACTTTTTTATTTTACACAATATTTTTTACTTCCTAAAAACCTTTCACATGATTTTTCAAAACACCCCTAATTTTAAGGGTATTTTTGTAAGTACCCCAACTTTAAGCCCATATATTTTTTCTTACTTGGACCAGACCATTTTAACTGGACAATACCCAACTTTAAGTCCGTACAATTCGATTTTCTGAACATTTTACTTGAACCAAACCATAAATATTTTTGTTTATTCCATCATCCTCACACTTTTTTTCTTCTCAACTTTCAGCCCACAAATCAACCCTTCAATTGCGAAATTTACAAAGATTCAACCTTTCCCACACCAATAATCTTGCTTCTTATGTGAATTTGGAGAACAACTGTATCCACCTTCTTTTCTTGATTCACCAACCCACCAAGAAAATTCACATCTTACGAGTCATATTTTACGCCCATTTTTGTTGAATGATACCTTTGGAAAGCAAAATTTAANGTTTATTAATATTTAACTAAATATTTTTTAAAAAAAATTCAGTCAATATATAAATGCACTAAAACTTTGTAACTTTGTTGGCCTCTTATATGCAAACTAATTTATGTTTCATTCTTTCTCCTTCATAGAACCACTAGCCCACCACCAATAATTTACTCTCTTTTTCCCTCTCTCATCTATTCCATGTGTCATCTATTCACCACTAATATTTTTTAGGTTGAAAATTAAATCAATCAAACACATTTAATTAATAATTTCCATATAAATAAGTTCTAGACGATTGAATTGTCTAAAATTTATTTTATTTTCATGTAAATTTCATATTCTCAATCAAACGCACACTTGGTAGTTTACATGAAGCATAAATTAAAGGGAAATTTGGTTCCTTAACCTTTTAACTACCATGGGTTTGAATCTCTAACATTAAAAACTGAAGTTCTAGGTCAAAATTATTTAAAATTTGTGTCTCCACATGATCGAAACCGTCTATATAAAAGTGAAAGTTGCACTTAACTTAAAACCGGAGGGTACAACCTTCAAGCCACTCAACGTCCAGCTTCACTCCACATGAAAATCGTGTGCAATTTATAAGTCTAAATCGACGGTTTCATTCACATAAGATCTATATTTACATTATTAATTAGGTTCGAAATCCAAAACTTTAATTTTAAAGGTTGGAGATCCAAACCACAATATCTGAAAGATTGGCAAGTCTAGACCAAATTTTCTCTATGTTAAGAAACTGCACCTTTTTCTTATGGGTGTGTTTGAGCCACATTATTTTGGAAGAATATACAGCTTTATGGAACCTATTTTCTCAGGCATAGATCCACGACAAGCATGTTTTTATATCTAGAACTTGTAGCTTTAATCCTTGATCCTGTGCAACATTTACTCAAAACATGTGAACAGTTGTCACTTTTGTTCACAAAAACTCACCCCAACACGAGAAAGATTGTATTTTTATTTTATTTTCATTACTTCATCTTAATCCTGTGAATCTGCTGTAAGAGTTCTTTATGGCCAACGTTATCCATCAGCTGGGATGATGATGGCTAGCCTATGTAGTTTAATTTAAGGTTTGGCAATGGTTTGAGAAAGGCTCAACTCATCTCTGTAGACGACACACAATCGTGCTTGTATTCTGGATACTCTAATCTTAGTAACATTGCATCAACAATCCTTATCAATATAAACTATAAAAACCACGATCTTGGTCCTAGTTGAACCTTCTTCATCTCAAGATATTCCTCTGGGGCTCGAATTTTGGGCATTGGAATTACAAGTTGTCACAACTCTACAACAGCACACTTAGGGGCTGTCTGGTAGAGCTATTCAACAAATTTTAAGCGAAAAATAGACCTTTTTTTTTCCACATATGGGTCTCACATGTGAGAGCCAAAGTCAACAATGGCTGCAATTTTTCATTTCTAACAGTTGGAAAATCAATTTTTTGGCCTTAAACTGCTCTCCCAGACACAGTTAATAAGATGTCAATCAAATTAGAAACCACGATAAAGTAATTCCTATTCGACTATGATATAAAGTTCCAAGAAACCTTGATAAATTGTCCAAATTAACCAACGAAAATTCAATATATTTTTTGCAAAGCACAAGATCTAAAAAAATGAGAAGCTAGCTCATGGGTCACTATATTCTCCTCGCTAGGAATATAACAAGGACCATTGCAAACATTTCAAAGCTAAACTTTATCACACTAATCCTATATATAATTTAACAGTGATAATGGACCAAGTCGAGCCGAATCAGCTTCCAATCACCCATTCTCGATTCGTTTTGTTGATGAGTCGGGCTTAGCCCATTGATCAACGAGCCACATAGTCTTATTTTGTTTTTTGTGAAAAAAGGAACAAAATATACGGAGAACTACTAAAAATTTAAATACGGAAAACACCACTCGTTTTCGAGATGTTCACGTGCTACATCAAATGTAAATAAAATTAAAAACTTGTACGTAAATAAATTATTAAATATATAATTTTTTTGAACTTAATGCAGGCCAAAAGTGTCTAGGAAATAGGACATGATCATACAATATCAACTCGACAATTTCTAACTCTTGTTAAATATACTATTTCTCCTACAAAATTATTAATAATTTACTCGATATTAGCAAACTGCACTTCAGTAATTTTACATGACATTGATTTTATTACAGAACAACCACCCTAAGAGAAATTGGGAATTTTTAGCAATTTTGTAATTAGGGTTCTACACTGGTACACGAATAATCAATCTTCATAAATACGGCACTCATCGGTCTCGGGATTCTCCTGGCAGAAAGACTCGAGTGGATCTTGATGTAATTTCTCCAGCTTGAGGCGGAGATCGGCCTTCGCTTGGCTGATTTCTTCCACTTCATCCCACGCCACCTTGCACTCGTCGGAGGTCTCGTCCTCGCCGCACACTTGATTCGCCTCCACCACCTTCTGCTCAATCATCTCCGTCAGTTTCTTCTCTCTCATCTGCGTGCCCTTGAATTTCATTGCCTTCAAAGGAGTCCCGTCCTTCGAAGAAGGCGTGATCATGTTCATCTTGATCATGATCTTCTTCGTGCTGTTGATTTCTCCATTAGATGCTGATCTGAAACTCGAGTATGGATTCAAACTCATAGGCGTGAAAGATGAAGCCATGGTTGTGGGTTGAGATTTTGGCGTGTAGCGTCGTTGATTGTTGTACAAATGTACAATGGAAAGCTTTGGGCTTTGATAGGAAATGTAAGCAGTCGGTGGTGGGTGTACAATTACTTAACTACCCATGGTTGAGGAAAATTGCAATAGAAGTCGGCAACCTATTAATTTATGCAAATGAATCCCAATATTTAATTATTTATATATTTAAGTCCTTGACATCCTTGTAGTCCATCTACATTTATGTTACTTAGGGGGTGTTTGTTTTTGATATAGTAGATTGATAGAGAATGTGTGGTTAAAAATGAAGGAAAAGTTATTGATGTGATGAAAAATATTATTTATTGAAGAATGTGTGGTTAAAAATGAGTAGAAGAATGAGAATGAAAAAAATAATGTGTACCAAATAGGACCTTAGCGTTTTAGCCCTTGTTTGGGCAACAATATAATATATATTTTTAAAAAAATATCTTGAAATTATAATTTTTTTAAGAATGTGTAGTTAAAAATAAAATAAATTATATATTTACTTATAATATTATTTTATTAAAAAATGTATGATTAAAAATAAGAAAAAAATACATTTCCATAAAAATGAAGCTGAAACAAGGGCTTAGTCTGTGTTTGGTAAGAATTAAAATTTATATTTTAATAGTCAAAGTCAACAATTATCGTGTGTTTGAGCCACATTATGTTGGATGGAATAGTAGATTGATTGAAAATGTGTGGTTGAAAAAGAAGGAAAAATTATTGACGTGATGCAAAATATTATTTTATTGAAGAATGTGTGGTTGTGAATCGGTAGAAAAATGAGAATGTAAAATTTTAATGTGGCTCAAACGGGAGCTTAATTTTAATTGTTTATCTTTTGGAATGCACAATTTTTCAATAATATATTTTATCGACTTTTATCAATATGTACAAAAAATTTAATTATAATCCTTACTAAATAAATAACGTGGTTTGGATTGGCTTTGACGGTTTTGCCTATGGCACACTTTCATTGGAGGTTTCCAAGCATTTAATCATACCTATCAGTACAAGGAGGTGGGGTCCAGTACAGTCTCTGTCATAGTGCATTTTGAAAGATGATATCAAGAAATTTTGTTTGAAAAGATTATCCATAGAACACGAATAGCAACAAAGAAATCTGTTGTGGATAACTTCGAAACTAGTAAATTAGTTTAAATTAAACATTAGGGGGTGTTTGACACCCATTTTTGTGAAAGAATGTGTTTTTGAATAGTGATTGATGGAAGAATGTGTGGTTAAAAAGTAAAGAGAGTTTTTAGGTTTATGTGTAATATTATTTTATTAATAGAATGTGTGGTTGAAATGAAGAAAAAGAAAAAAAATAAGAATGAGAATGAGAAAAAAAATGGGTGCCAAACGGGGGCTTAGTAAATTATGGGCCTGTTTAAAAGTGTAAAATACATTCTAAAACAGTAAATTGATATAGAATGTGTGATTAAAATTGAATAAAAAAATTTTAGATTATGTGTAATATTATTTTATTGAAAAATGTGTTATTGAAAAGAAGAGAGATACAAATATATTTTGAATAAAAATGAGAATTAAACAAGGTCTTCATCCCTATTACCTAGCCCTTGTCCGAGCTCCATTTTTGCCAACAAAATGCATTTTTGAACAATGATTTGACACCATTACAATCACACATTTTTCAATAAAATAATATTACACGTGAATCTAAAATTTTTCTTTATTTTTTAATCACGCATTCTCTATTATAATACTATTGTAAAATGCATTTTTGTAAATAAAAAGGGGCTCAAAACAAGCCCCTGATATTATGTGCACGCTTCGTAATATTCATTATCGTTTGATTTTATACTCAATAATAGATTAGTGAAAGAGAAATCAACATAAGGATTTAACGTGATTCGACAATGGAGAGATATTTTAGGATTTAGTCCCTTGTACATTATGGCGCCTTTAAGGCATCCATAATGGACAAGTGTCTGACCCCCATTGGGGGGTTGGCTGATGCGACCCTGTTGCGTCAGCCGACCCCCCAATGGGGGTCGGACACTTGTGCATTATGGATGCCTTTATGGCATCCATAATGTACAAGNCTCATTCAATAACACCAATTTTGAATTTCAAATCAGCTTTATTGACCTTAAAAGCACATTCAGACGTGTGTTTGAGCCACATTATTTTGGAAGAATGTATTTTGAAATAGTAGATTAATGGAGAATGTATGGTTAAAAAATAAGGAAGAGTTTTTGATTTACATGTAATATTATTTTATTAAAAAATCAACGGTTAAAAAGAAGAGAGAGAAAAATATTTTTTGAACAAAATGGGGATCAAACAATGACTAACTCTAGCCCTGACTCATACAAGATTTTAGGAAATACAAGAAAATACTTATGTTAGGCGATCTCTACTGAGTAAAAAGAAGATCCCACTTCGTTTAAAGAAGCGATAGAGAATGTAGACTTTAAATCATGAAAATCTACCATGAACTCAAAGATGGAATCTATGTATTCCAACAAGGATTGGGATCTCGTGGATGCACGTAATGGGGGGTCAAACTTATAGGGTGCAAATGAGTTTATAAAAGGAGAAGAGGTATGATGGAAATGTTGAAACCTTCAAAACAAGGCTAGTGGCCAACGTTTTTACCTAAAGAGAAGGTATCGACTATGAAGAAACCTTTTCACCGTCTGTCATGCTTAAATCTATTCGAATCCTTTTTTCTATTGTCACTCATTATGATTATGAGGTTTGACAAATGGATGTCAAGATAACATTTTTAAATATACATCTTGAAAAGACCATCTATATGATACAACCTGAGGGGTTTGTGAAATAAGGTCATGAAGAGAAAGTTTGCAATTTGCAAAAATCCATTTATGGACTTAAGTAACTGTCCAGGTCTTGGAATATAAGATTTGATCAAATTATTAAGACATATGGTTTTGACTAAAATTTGGATGAACCTTCTGTATACAACCGTATGCAAGGGAAGAAAGTGCTTTTTCTGATTCTTTATGTGGATGACATTCTACTAATTGGAAATGATGTAGGGACATTGTCATCTGTAAAAAAATGGTTGTCACAGTAGTTTGATGTGAAGGACTTGGGAGAAGGCATTTATGTTTTGAGAATCCGTATCATACGAGATAGAAAAAACTACGGATAGCATTATCTCAAGCTTCATATATTGACATGATATTATCTAGATTCGCAATGCAAAATGTCAACAAGGGACAACTTCCTTTTAAACATGGAATTCATATATCTAAGGAGCATTCTCCCAAGACTCCAATGGAGATATGTTACATGAAGAAGGTTCATTATGCTTCAGCTGTGGGGAGAACGAGACCATTGAATTGCGGTGAAGCATATATACTCAAGTACATTTGGAAAACGAGAGGTTATATGCTTGTCTATTCGGGACATGATATGAATCCTATTGGATATACTGATTCTGATTTTCAATTCGATTGTGACTCTATGAAGTTTACGTCGGGTTTAGTATTTACACTGGGAAGTGGAGCCATGGTATGGAGGAGTTTTAATCAATCTTGTATTGCTGATTTCACCATGGAGGCAAAATATGTAGCAGTTTGTGAGGCTGCTAAAGAAACTATATGGTTCAAGAAGTTTCTTTTGGACCTTATCGTGGTACCTTTAACAATGGAACCCATAACACTTTATTGTGATAATAGTGGAGCAGTTGCTAATGCTAAGAACCAAGGAGTTCTCAGCATGGCAAATACATTGAGATGAAATAGCACCATGTTAGAAAGATTGTTCATCGAGGAGATGTAACAGTTAACAAGATTGCATTAGCAGATAATTTTGCGGATCCGTTCACCAAGAGCTACCAACTAAGGTTTTTGATGGGCATCTTGAGAGGATGAGTATTCTTGATATGTCACTACTCTAAAAGGGCAAGTAGGAGATTGTTAGTTTGATGCCATTTTTGAGTAGTATTTTGTAAAGCGTCATTATGAATTAACGTTCGATTATTCACGTGTTACAATTTGAAACAATTATCTAAGGTTCCATGATCATAGATGATGTCACAAATTGTATACTCGATGGTTGGGGATATAGTGAGATACAATTCATGACGTGATCAAAATATATCGTTCACAATCGGTACATAAAGTTGGACGCTTTAATATTGCATTGTTCTTATTGAGATTTGTCTAGATTTGGAAATAAAAACAATAATGTGTTTTTGTTGCACATTGAATGAGACTGCTAGATGACTCATTTGTTATCGCTTGGAATGAGACTCTACTCGATTATCAAACAAGTCACCTAAATCCGGAGCAAGTAATGTACTTTTAATTGCTAGTTCAAGTTCTTTGAGGTACCGATGAATGAAGTATTAATTAGAAAATTGATCTCGATGCTTTGAGAATCGTGCCGAAATAGTTAGAGATCATATATTTGCGATAGTGAAATCCATTAATCATCATGATAAGAAGATAGTCACTCTATGGTATTTTGTATAGGCAATTAAAATCTGAGAGTAGTCCGACAATGAGATCGTTGGACTCTATGTTATGATTTGATCGTAACGAATTCGCCTCATGAAAATGGGACCTAGAGGGTAATACATATCGAATAGCAAAATGGTCATTTGTTGGTTTCAACATATTGACAGTCAAACAGAGGTCGACTTATGGAACGATAATCGGTTGATATTGTTATCGAATCATAATTTGCTTCCATAACTATCACTCAACTTGAGATTACAATTTCGATTTTTAGGTAGAATATATAGGGATTAATAGATGTATCTCAATTAGTCAAGAGTTGACCTATTTAGAAATATTTATTGGAGTTTGAGTCTTGTGAGTCCGTTTAGATCTCTCTCTCTCTCTCTCTCTCTCTCTCTCTCTCTCTCTCTCTCTCTCTCTCTCTCTCTCTNAATATTTATTGGAGTTTGAGTCTTGAGAGTCCGATTAGGTCCCTCTCTTGGCTCTAATAAAGATGTATGACTTAATTGATTTACTACTATAAAGTCCAAGGAATTTTGTGCAATTATGAAACCCTAATTGAGTATGATAAATATGCCCTTTGTAGGCACATTTCTCAAGTTTTTAGGGACAGTCACATATTTATATTTCCCAAAAAGTGAGGCACTTAAGGAGAACAATTGACAGGATCTAAGGGAGGAAACACTTGCCAGTGCCATTAATACCTCGTTCAAGATTATCATCTCATTTTTATGTGTAAGGATTTTAAAAAAATATTCAATGATTTCAAGATGATCTAAGATCCATTATTCACTTGAGTTTAATCTTCAAAGGAAAATTAATTTTCTCTTGGGATGATTAAATCAAATAACTAACAATCCATGGTTCATCTTAAACGATCCCAAGTCGTTCATGGACCGCAATTTGAGACGACTTGAGCACATAAGCGATTTGGCTGATTTCTACCACTAGTTTTTTTATGTAAAAATTACACACACACATGGATTTCAACTTTCAACTTCAAAAATCAGATTTAAACTTTATTTATTTAAAAATCATATCATAATTCACTTTTTAATATTAATAATAATATTATTAAATTCTCTCTCTATCCCATCTCTAAATTATATCTACCCAAATCTCAAGCTCTAAGAATACCAAATCACAAACACAGTGCTCCTTTTTTCTTGACGTCGGTCAACACTTTCTTTTCCAACGGTGAGTGATTTTTGGGTTTTCGAGGTGGTTTCTTCTCCCTCCAATCTACTTAACGAGATAATTTTTGTTGGTGGTTTACAAATTGAAATAGTTATTTTGCAGTTGCAAATAGTGGCAATGAAGTTGCACAACGTTTGGTAGGTGGTAGTGGTGGCGAGGCAGCGAGGTATTTGATTGGTGTCGATGGCGGTGGGGTGAAAAGCATTTGTGACCAATTATATAAATGTTTGCGACTAATAAAATCGTTAAATTATGACCAATAAATAATATGTGACCGATAAAATGGGTAATTTGTGATTAATATATAATATATGATCTAAAAAAATGTGTGAATGTACTAAATTTGTAAATGTGCCCCCAATCTTTGTCTTTGTGACTGTGACTGTATGCCATTTGTGATTGTGAACATAATTGTGTAACATTTGTAATTAAGAAATAATGTGTAACCAATTAATTTAATAATTTTTGACCGATAAATAAATTGTTATATATAAAATTTGTGATTTGTTACTTGTGACATTCTATAATTATGACTAATAATTAACCGTGACAATAAACTGTATAATATTGTGACCTCAATATATTTAATTATCTATTTAATTATTAAAATTTGAATTATGAATTGAAACTTTAAAATAAATTTCTTAATTTTGAAATTATATTTTGTAACAAATTTCGGGTTCAAATAATATGGGCAATATTGATGGGCTACTCTTCAGAAAACAAGTGTTAAAATAAATACGGGCCAGAATTTGATATCGGCCCACTATCCCAAAACCTTGTATTAAAGGGCCCTATTCGAGTAACACCAAAACTTCAGGGATCTCAAACAGTGTTATTTTCAATTAGGAATACTTGTGGGGTCTATTTTTCAAATTTATTCCAATAGGCCGCGGTAGGTAGGCCCAATCTATTCTTTACTTTCCCCCATACTGCAACGGCTATGAAAGAACATATGAGAGACTAATTTCAAAATTTGAATCTCGCAGTGGCTCACGCGCACATCTGAGAGAGAGAGAGAGAGAGAGAGAGAGAGGCAGAAGAGAGAAGAAGAAGAAGAAGAAGAAGAGAGCAATGGACTCAACAGAAGTATCTGTATTAGATCCGGAGACGGAGTTTTTGGCGTCGAAGCAAGAGACAGGTCACGAATGGGAACTCTTCAAGGAGAACGTCCGCCCTTTGAAGCGAGGTCGTAATGTCAATCTTCTAAATCACGCCCTCAAATCTCAAACTGATTTTCAACTCAAGAAGTCCCTTCTTGATCATCGAAGGTTAATTATTTTTCCTTTTCTTTTTAGGATTTTTTTTTTGTCAAATTAATCATTTATTGATAGATACTCCAATTCAATAGGAGGTTATTGGAGGCAATTGATGAGTATAAAGGCGACGATCCCCTTCAACCATGGCTCGAGTGAGTAATACTTACAGGAATTTTAATTACTTCTTGATTTTTCATGTGAAAGATAGGATTTTACCCGCTAGAATTATGTTTTGTTTAACATATTAAGGCCGTATGCCTCCACTATTAATCAGAGCATGTTTGGCTAAGGTAAAAAGGTTTGCTTACAAGTAAAAGTTAGTTTAGAAATGAAACAAAATTTTATTGGTGAAATTAAATAGGTAAACTTAGCCCAAGTTTGGTTCGTATTAAAAAAACATTTTTAGTAGATTCTTATAAATGTTGGTTAAATGTGTGGTTGAAAAGTTGAGGACCCCGTAAAATATATGGTTGGAAATGAGTTTGAGAAAAGAACGAGTTTTAAGAAATGAGGCCAAACAGGGTTTACTCTATTTGGTGAAATTTATAAACCATTGGTCAATCTTCATTTGCTTATTTATTAGGCTTAGCCAAACGTGATCTGTAACTTGAATATTCTTAGTGTTAATTGTTATTATGAGGTTGAGAAAATAAAAAATAAAGTTCTTGAGTAGAATTATGAGTTCCTTGTATTGCACACTGGCCATTAAAATTGATGTTTTCTTCTAACATGTCCAAAATTGCGCACTGGCCATTAAATCGACAATTGAATGAGTAAATAAAGGAATTTTTCACAACAAAAGAATTATAGTATTTTATCTGAAAAAATGTAAAAGTTAACTTAGAATATTTATTAGTCTCAATTCAAATGGAAAGGTTTGATGTGGAGCTCTGAGATGGCATGGAAACTCTTTGACTTTGCTATAATTGATGATCTCTGGTGCTAGAGAGGCTACTGTGTTAATTGATTTAATGATGTAGTGTCATGTTACCTTAAGTGAAACTGGTATTATACGTAATTGATGAAAAGTTTTGGTACTAAGTACGTTGTATTTTATCTTTTGGATTTCTAAAGGTGCATCAAATGGGTTCAGGAGGCTTTCCCTCCTGGGGGCGACTACTCAGGACTAGTTGTTATTTATGAACAATGCGTCCGCACTTTTTGGCATGAAGAACGATACAAGGAGGATCTACGTTACCTAAAAGTTTGGCTAGAATATGTATGCTTACTTTATAATTGCTTACATTTTGTGCCTTGTTTACCGAGGCTGCATAATTTATATATTTTATGTTGTTTATTAATGTTCCTCTTGTGGGTCCTATAGATGCTTTTAATAGTTACATGGTATATTTTGAATGAATTGCAGGCTGAAAATTGTGTTGATGCTGAAGTCATATATAGTTTTCTGGAGGCAAATAATATTGGTCTGACACATTCGTCTTTGTACATATCATATGCTTTGCACATGGAATGCAAACATAAAATTAGAATTGCAAATGAAATCTTCAATCGCGGGCTATCTATGTAAGGTTTCTTTTTCCTTTCGGGTTCAGAGTTAAATATGACGATTGAAATACCTGTGATAATTTGTGTTTTGTTGGTGTTTTCTTGGAAATTTCTAATTGTGATATATGTATATGCGAGGGCATCGCACGGTCTTGTAAGTTATAAGCTCAGTGTCATACTTAGAGAATAAAGAGAAATATCGTGCACCATCCATAAAATAAGGTGATATGTTTAACTACTAGTCACTTTCCACATAATATAGGTTTCTAAGAAGGTAACATGTGTTAAGACATGAAATTATTTTATAAATCATTTTAATTTATTATTAATGCGGGGTTAATGTATCCTTCCAAAATGTTTATATCGACAGTTTAACCAATCTTTAGTTATAATTTTGAGGGGTTTAACGTGAGAAGCTCCTTTAACATATGTACATTTGCTCTGTTATTGCACGAATTTGTATCTATATCCTGTAGTTGTCTTTTGGTTCTTTTGTCTTTGTATTTTACCTTTCATTCAGTTCATAAAATTAGTATTTATGTTTCTAGCGTTCATTAGATCGCCAAGTATTTACACAATTTTTTTAACATAATACCTAAACTTGAAGGTTTCTGTCTAAGTTGACCAACTCTCAACTTATGGAATCCGTGTTAACAAGTTTTAGAGTTTCTTGTTGACATTTTTAACTTTGCTTGTCATCAAGGTCATTTCCAATTAATTGTGGGATTTGATCCTAGTGTAACCTGATGTTATGCTGCTCTTATAGATATTCTCATAACAGCGTTTACAAACTACGCCTTGTCGCCAATAATTTTTTAATGGCAGAGAATAATTTACAGCAGAGCCCTTGTGAATATTGTAAAAATTTCAGGAACTACTCTTATTGCGGAAATTTTAAAAATTGTTCTAGCATGTGATTCTAAATCAAAATTTCCAGTTTAAAGTCTATGATCTTTCCAGGATGTTCATCTCTCCTTTGATGAATATGCTTTTGTAAATTTAGAGCAAATCTAGCAACTTCTCTTTTCTTGTTAATTGTTTAGAATGCTGATGGCATCTAGGCTATAGTTGAAACTGATATTGAAGAGAGTTCTTCAGAAGATTTCACACCATTTCCACAGAAAGGATACCCATGATAGATATGCTTTTGTTAATTAGAGACAATTTGGCAACTTACCTTTTCTTGTTAATAGTTAATTTGTTGTAATGTTGACAAGATATAACTTCAAGTGAAATTGAAGGAGTTTTTACATAAGATTCCACACCGCTTCTATATTTCCCTTTTAATCGCACAGTAAGAAAGCCTTATGTTTTTCCTCCTCCTCTTCTTATTCTTTCTTTCTTTCTTTCTCTTTTTCTGTTTGTTCTTTTCTCCGTGGCTAAATAAATCTGTGTTTAATTTCGCATGTTGCTAAATCAGATGATTTTTCGGTCCTAGTGATTCTCCTAATGAAGTTGCAAAATTGATTCTTCTTGAATTTCTCTGCCTACTAGGAACGCTCAACCAGTCGAGAAACTAAAGGCAGCCTTCAAGAAATTTCTCACTCGTTCAATGAGACAACCAAAAGCCTCAGATGTATGCATTTTTTGCCTGCTTATTTTACTTTTCATTTCCTTATCTGTCGTTGCTTGATTAGGTGCTTTTGATCACAATATTTTCATTGCCAATTATCAGGAGGACATAATGGAGAACCATTTACCATCTCGAAGCTTTGGAACTGTATTGGCTAGGGGAGAAACGAGTATGTTACATCTATCTTTCTGCCTTTTGAAATTCGGTTGGCTAATACTTTATTACGACTGCAGGAAACCAAGCTTCCCAGAGTTCTGATCTTTCTAGGAAGAAAATGAAGATTGACCGGTAAGCACATCGATTATATGCTTGAAGGTCCTCTATATGGCTTGCTTAAATTAAACTTGAAAACCAATACATCTCCTTAAACTAAGAGCTGTTTTACTCACAGATTTTTCTAAAATCATTTTTCTTCAAAATTATTTTCAACCACACATTTCATTGGACCGACAACTTTTATCCATTTTTTAAGCACACATTCTCCAAAAAAATCACTTTTCACTTGAAAAATTCTGTGCCAAACAAACTTAAATCAAGTTATCCTTCCGCTTAGTTTTAGTCAAATAACAAGCTATGAGGGAAAGAAGAGACAAGCTTTTCCCACTTTTTTTTCATTTCTTCTTCTCTCGCCACAACTGCTTTATTTGATCTCCATTCATTGTTATCCTCAGTACCACCTCCATGACTAACTCCATCAATCCTCAGCTAGCACCCCCTGATTTCCATAACATACTAATAGTTATGTACCTCTTCTGAAAAACAAGCATTTCTATTAATGACAATTAATAATTTCATTAATAATTCTATCTTATTTGACATTACCCCTAAGCGATTGTCAAGACATAATAACCTTCATAATTCAAAACTTGAAAGAATTGGATCACGTTGCATTGGAAACCGGGTTGAGGATTCTATGTATTAGTTGGTGATTGAGAAGTTTTTATCCTTTTTATTGCCTTATACTTAGGAGTGAGAGGTGGTATGACCCTAGTTTTGTATGAGGTTATAGCATCTGGTAAATGAACCATTTTTTGAGGTCTGGCCCTTGAAGGAGGTTTATATTTTTTGGCTTTTATTTACTTTGAGCAGCAGGGGTTTCCTGATAACTGGGTGTCTTTGTCCATATGGTCTAGTTTTGAGAGAAAATTGCAACTTTGTCACGTCTAGGCTACAAGAGTCATGTGAATTAAAGGAAGAGGTAGCTATAAGGTTTTGAATACCACGATGGTTTAATTTCAAGACCTCATGGGAGTAACCTGACATTTTTGAAATAATTTGCTGCACACTCAACATTTTCATTAGATGCTACACCGTGAGGGTGACATACTAGAGGGCTGTAAAAGAATCCCTTGAATTAGGATTGCTTGGTTGATTCAGAGGTATATTTAAATGCAATATCTATTTCAAAATACTTGACTAATGATGTTTCTGATGAAATCGTGCAGTCCAATGTTATTGATAAGCTGAAGCTTATTTTGTCTTTGTATTTCTTTTAGGACTCCTGGAACTTCATTATCCATTTATAAAGATAGCAGCAGGGATCCAACATTGGGTCCTCATTCAGAAATGTCAAAATTAGAAGTAAAAACTTGGCACTCACTCGGTGCTCGAGCAGAAAGAAATAAAGAGAATAATGCAATTCCTTCCAAATGGACATCAAACAAAGTAAGTTAACTTTGAACTCTAATCAACTTAATCATGATGAAGTAGCAAACAATTGCTGAAGTTAAAACTACTTCCAGATTCCTCAAAGACCCAATACAAGAATCGGAAGACCAGCTGCAGGCCCACGCATTGAGATCTTTGTGGATGAGGAATGTTCGGGGTAAAGTACATAAACACCACCAATTAAGCATGCTTATATTTAGTGTAATAAAAAATGAATTCATTCTGGGACATTCAATTTTAATTTATCTATGCTCACTTATTTCTTACAGAGCACGTAAGGCACACAATGAAGCGGATGACAAGTCTTCAGTTCTGCAGCTTAGACCTGCAGACGGCAGAGATCTCAAGAAGTGAGTGGCATTCTTAAGTTTTTCTTCATACCGATAATTCTTTGTTCAGACGTGAATTATAAGTTTTTGAATGGTTATATTACAGGGAGAGCGAGATATTAAGGGAGCATCCATTGCGTAATTTCCCTCTGAGTTCTCTGCCCAGATAAACCTGTACAAGTCATCCCGGTTGTGGTTTGTGGATCAATGCATGGATTAGCAGATATTTCTGAAACTTGATTGTTTTTATTAATGAATCTTTGGGATACAATATTTTCCATTTGAGTTTCATATTTGTTTCACGAGTGAGAATGATTGTTCAAGAAGTGCATTTTCCCCATGCAACTCGTAATTGGTACTATTATTGATATGCTGTGTTGATGTTGAAATTTTGGTAGTGCGGTCGTTTATTTTCTTCAAAGGAATTTGTTACTAGGGGTGATGTGAAGTGTGCTTGAGCCATAGCGGCGTAGCATGACACCTAGGACTAGACTATTCCTTATATAGATGTAGTTGAAGATATCCATATTGGGATAGGTGTTCGGATTGAGTTAGCTATTCTAAGAGCAAGTTGAATCCAACCATGTACGTTTTCCCTTTGGTTGAACCCCGACTTCATGCTAAACCATGTCAAGTTATGTCGTGGACAAGTTTAGGAAAAACTCTTGGTGCCAAGAATGGGCTGACTCTTGGACCGTATGCTCCAGAGTCGTTAATAAGAAAACCATTAAGTAGCGTAACGTTGCAATTACAAAATCATATTTAGTTCACTTGATATATAACATTGACATAAATTCTCAGCTGAAACTGCTAGTACAATAAAATGAAAAGTTAGGATTTAAATATTGAAATAATAGGTTAGGGCTCAATTTTTTAAATTGGCCATAGGTTGAAAAGCTTATTTTGTTAATTAATCATAGACAAAAAAGGTTGGTTAAAGTGATAAAAATAATAAATATTAATAATGGAAAATTCAAAAACTAACAAATTAACAACAAACACAATAACTTGAAATTAAAAAAGGAATTTTCATCTGTGATAGTTTGAAAATAAAAATAAAAATCAATGATGAAATTTGGATTTGCAGATAATTAATTCCTGATTTTGTTATTCTGTTTCAGTTTATAATTGAATTAGTTCTGATGCTCAAGAATTATGCTTGTCTGTTTATAACAGAGAACTTGTATGGACGAAAAGAATATAAGAAGGCTACAGTGACTTTCTATTTCTCTCTTACATTCAACTTTTCAATATAAAGAATTAATTGATATAATAGAAAATTGCAGAGAATAAAATTCTAACTTTAACTCTTGCAAGACTGTAACGAAAGAATTGATCACCATGGTTTTTCGGGCTCAGTTTTTATCAAACCAACTGAGATCGACACCACCGAATAATAACCAAATATCCAACTTTCACTCTACTCCGATTGCTTTTATATTGCCCCAAAAGGACAAAAAAAAAATGAGAGGTTTTTGCAGCTACACAACAATTGGGAAAGACAAGAAGAAAACAATGTAGGAAGAGCACAAAGCAGAAAATAGAGTAGCCGATTTTTCTCAAGGCAATAACCTTGGATGTTTGTAGTCGAATTTTCATACCTTAAGTGTGTGATTGCACGAGAAATACCAGATGTAGCGAAAGAATTGATCACCAAGGTTTTTTGGGCTCAGTTTTATCAAACCAACTAAGATGACACACCAAATAACAACCTAATCTCCTACAACTTTCACCCAACTCCGATTGCTTTTGTATTGCTCACAAAGGACACAAAATTGAGAGGTTATTGTTGCTATATAGCAGCCACGAAAGCTGAGAAAGACAAGGAGAAAATATTGCGGAGAAGCACAAAGTAGGAAACAGCGCAGTCGAATTTTTTCAAGACAATAACACGTGTTTTCTCATAGGAAAGAGGCTGCCCATATATAGTAGTAAAAACTAAAACTGAAACACGAAGAGAACGACCCTAAAATTTTGAAAAGTGATTTTTTGAATAGTGTAATTAAAAAGTAGGGAAAAATTTTGGATATACGTATTAAATATTTTATTGTACAAATGTGTAGGTGAAAATGAATATGTGAATTAAAGAGTTTTGAAGTAATAGTTATCAAACATGGGCTTAGTTCCTTCACAAAGCTTATCAGGATTCTTTTTGTATAGCGAAATAATTTTACTTGCTTATCCATGATTGTTGGAACAAAACCAATAATGAACAATATTAGGTCTTCCATTTATAGGAAGTGATGGCTCTAGGTGCGGACCCACATGGGGTCATGTGGGGTCAAATGACCCCACAATTTTTTTTTCCAAGTTTTTTTTTTAATTATTGTAACTGGCCCAAGATAATGGACCAACTTCCCGATCCAAATGTCAAACCAAAACACTAGCCCAGGCCAAACACCGCATCCCCTTATTTCTTGCCCGAATCCTGAACCATTACCTTACCACGACTTCACTCTCCCTGCCATCTCCCGATTTGAAGCTCGAAATCACCATTTTCTCGAGATCAAGCTCAAACTCTGCCTCTCCAGCCGACAGCCAGCCTCCAGTCGGTTGCAACTCGGTGCTTGCTTGCCTGGGACTCCGCTTGAAGCTTCGTTATTCGCTCGCGAATTGCCTCTGTCTTTAAAGCTGTAAGTCGCCCACGTCGCCACTCGCCTGCCATATGCTATGTTTATATTCTAAGATAATTGATAGTTTGATCTATAAATTGCATAGACATTATTGATTATACTCGAATTCGTTTGGGCTTTACTAGATTACATTGCAGCTACACAACAATTGGGAAAGACAAGAAGAAAACAATGTAGGAAGAGCACAAAGCAGAAAATAGAGTAGCCGATTTTTCTCAAGGCAATAACGTGTGTTTTCTCAAAGCAAAGAGGCTGTCCATATTTGGTAGTAGATTAGGCTTTTAGTTTAAGTAATGAATTAGGCACAAAGGGAGACAATAGATAACCAATAAGTTGGCAAACACCAAAAGTCGTCCAATGAGTGAAGGGTCGGGCCACGAGCAACTCTAATTGAATTAGGATGTTTCCAATAAATAGTTACGGGCTCGAGTCATTCAATTTAAGTTGTCGATATTTCACTTTAGTCATTTGGTCGATATCGACCGAATAACTAATGATTTAATATCATTGTCCGAGGAGTTATTGGGTATCAAATCCCAACAAATCTTCACCCTAATGCCCAATAAACCTGTAAGCAATAAAAATACATAGTTAGTATTTGCATAATCAAGGTAACAAATAAAATTGGGATCACATACTTTACCTTGTGTTTTGGACCCGAAACACATACCATACATGCTCAATGTACTCTCACCAGGGCTAAGGTTAAGAACAACCAAATAGAAACAAGTAATCACAGTAATCGATTTAGAGTATATCATACACACGATGTAGATATAACATAGATCTTTCGATCACCTTCACACAGAACAACGGACTAGCACCAATTTAATCAATTAAAATGGCTAACACATGCGACAAATGCATAAATGACCACACGAAAAGATTTCAGCACACTTATCTTATCACATTCCCTATTGCTCATACTTCGAGAACACGTATCTCTTCTCATCTCTCACCATGCTCATTAGGTTAATCACTAACCTCATGTCTAACTGGTAAACCACAATAGAGGATAATTCTCTATCACCACATTACTTTTCCCAACCTACAGTGGATAATGGTCTCCACCTAACATAAGTAATAGAAGTGTCTCTCTCATACTCCACTTGATCAGGATCTTTCACGGATAAAGGATTCCAACATTTAATCACATTTTCACTCGTGATCCAAATGTTACACCTCACATCCCCAGTACATACCACTAATATACAACTAGGTATCTATACTCCACATCACTAGTAGACACAACACACTAACTGTTAATGTATCACAACCCACTACGCATGCAAACAATTACACCAAGTAATCAAATTGCTCTCAAATTCATGCAAATATACATATCAAACATATTGAAATGCAACACATAATCATGCAACAGAATTAAGCAATTACACACATGCAGAAAGTATTACAAATAGCTGCACATGCAGTAATTAGGTTTACTTTCAATAAACCTTACTAGGATAATCACTCAACCACATAGCAACATTTGCCTCATCTCTCATTTTACCCTTCTACTTACCATTCTTCTTGGGATAGTTCATAAAAAAGTGTGCGACTTTACCACAACTATAGCATCATTTACCTCGGACTTGTCCCAACTTTTGCCCTTCTTTTTACCACCTTCATCACAACTATCTTAAGCCTTACCCAAACTCTTTTGCTTAAATTTCATTCTACTCCTCATCATATATGTTTCACTACTCCTCTTATCTTCTTTTTCAACCTTAATCTCCACATTCTTACTCTTAAGGTTCTTGCTTAGAAATGGCAACGGGGCGAGGTGGGACGATGTGACTGGTGAGGTTCTTTTCCCATTTACTACCCGTTTAAATTTTTTTTTTTCAGTTTTTGATAATTTATTTTTATACTTGCCGCGCCCCCACCCTATTACCCGTTTAAGGTAGAACGGGGCGGGGTCCTTGCCCTGTTTACTACTCGTTTAATTTTTTTTTTTTTAGTTTTTGATAATTTATTTTTATTACCCATATTCATTAGATTTAGACAAATAATTTTAGTTGTTATTTTCTATTAGAAATAATGAAAGTTTTCATTTAAAGTATTGAATTCTAAAAAATTAAAAAAATTTAAAAAAAAAAATTTAACGGGGCGGGGCCCCCATTACCCGTCCCGGCCCCGAATACCTGATTAAGCGCGTTATCCCTACTCCGCTTGGGGCGGGGCCCCGCAGGTATAAGGGGTTTGTCGAATTTTTTTGTCATCCCTATTCTAGCTTGTTAAGGTATCACTACCATATTTAATTGCATTTTTAACTTTCATATTAGTCATGTCAACGAGCCGAACCGAGTCGATTGTCGAGCCACGAGTTGAAACTCGAGCTCAGCTCAAGCCAAAAAGGTTCTAACTTTTTTTTGCCCGAGCCGAAAATTGAGGCTCGTCTCAAGCTTTCGGCTCGAGCCTTAGTGGGCCGAGCCAACTCGATTTTTTTTTTTGATGTCAAATCTAAACTTTTTCTTAAAAAATTTAAAATTTGTACAATTTATAGTACTATAACTTAAATAAAAGTTAAATCC